CCGCCGACCCCTTTTTTTTCCGCGTGGTCGTTATCACGGCTTCTTTGCAAGCTGCGGGAAAGATTCAGGTGGTGACCTTGAACTGTGTTCGGGTGCTGTTTGGCGGGCCGTCGCGCATGGGCGCCGTTTGGGGGGCCCTGTCGCGGGGGGTATCAGGCATGCACGGGGTGTTTGGGGGTTCTCTCCGACGGTTCCGTGGTCGTCCTTGGGGCTTTTCGGGCGGCGGAGTCGGGGCAGTACGTTGCGCGCCGGTGACATCTCAAGGGTGTCGGCGGATGCCGTCCGGGAGTACTGTGGAGTATCATGGTCGGAGTCTTTCGGGTAGTGTGTTGCCAGGTGACGAGGATGGTCCTGCTGACGCGACGGCGACCATGACGACGATGGTGATGCTGCTGATGATGGCGATGATGACGACGTTAATGACAATTGCGACGACGACGAGGAAGATGATGGTGATGATGCTGGTGGTGGTGATGATGATGATGGGGAGGATGAAGATGAGGGTGAGGATGAGGATGAGGATGACGAGGAAGAGAAAGAGGAGGAGGGAGGAGGAGGAGGAGGAGGAGGAGGAGGAAGAGCAGCAGGATGAGGAGGAGGAGGAGGGGGGAGGGAGGGGGAGGAGGAAGAGGAGGAGGAGGAGGAACGATGATGAGGTGGAGGAGGAGGAGGGGGAGGAGGGATGAGCAGGAGGCAAAGATTGACAGTATGGGTCACGGGCCCCCGCGATAGGTTTTGTCGCGTTGTCGGGGGCATTCGTTGCCTTGGCTGGACGCGGCTCGAGTGTGTCTTGTGATGTGAGGCGGTGCTTGGCCCGTTCTCATTGATCAAGGCACAGGCGCGAAATTGTTGGTCAACCATTTCGTTCCTTCTGCGACAGGGTTTCCCGTTCCGTTTTGGGCACGGTCCGTTTTGGGGGTCGGCGGTGCGGGGGGTGCTGTCTCACGTCTCGCATGCGGTGAGCGCGCTGATCTCTTTCAGCGAGCGGTGTCCCAGAGCAGATGGGACAAAGGGGGGCAGGAGTCTGGCTTGGGCCACATTCATGACAGTGTCAGACACGACTGGAAAGCAATTGGAGAAGTGCTTGACGCGTCCCGTGCCCCAACCAGCTCATGTAGAAACGATGCCCATGCGAGTTGGCGCGATCAGGCAAGTGCGGGAGCAAGGAGGGGCAGTCGTTATCATTCGAAGCGGCAAGGTGATGGAGGAGGGAGAAAGGAGAGGGAAGGGGAAAAGGCACACAAAGAGGAGGCTGGCGAACAGAAAAGCCAGTGGTTTACTGGATGCATGGAGGTTCTTGGGACATCTCTTGAGGGCTTTTGGGGGGCCTACTCAGGCATCTTGGCGACTTCTCCGCGGTTCAGGTGACATGTTGAGCCGCTTGGCAGCTCGGGGGGACCTTTTTCGGGCCCCTTTGTTGCCTCTTGGTAGCTTCTTTGGTGCGTTTTCGGCGCCTCTTGAGTTTTTTTTTTTGCAATGTTTCTGGGGGCCGCGTTGGCCCTCTTGGGGCGATCATGTACGACATTGAGTGAAGAGGGGGAGCTGCAACCAGGGCTGCCCGTCGATAGCCTACGCGTCGCCTTCTAGGGCGCTCTTGCGCCTGGTTTGGGGCCACCTGAGCCCCTCTTCGGTTCCCCCTGGGTGCTCTTCAGGCTATCTTGAGGCTTCGACGACCATTGGCAAGGGGGAGATGGTTACGCCAAAAGTGAGCGTGACGGCTAGCGGGCGGGCAGGGGTCAAGCTATCCATTCCGTCTGCTGGCCGTCTCCCTCACTCCCACCCGCCATCCTGTCTCAGAAGGTCAGCACAGTAGCATGTCTACGAACCGTTCCAGACGACGATGACGACGAGGATGCTCATGATGATGATGCGTATGACGGTGATGATGATGATGCTGATGATGCTGGCGATGATGGTGATCATGAGCAGGACGATGAGGATGGATGAAGTGGGGAGACGATGGCGAGGAGTTCGCGGATGATGGTGATGCTGATGATGCGGATGACGGCGGCGGTGGTGATAACGACGATGATGATCACGACGATGATCATGATGATGAGGAGGTGAATGGGGGAGGAGTCACAAGATGATGGATCAGAGATGATCGATCAGCATGATGAGTAGGTTGCGGCAGGGAACAGACGGAGCAAAGGGCTCTCGACTCTTCTCTGGGGGTCTCTGTGGCCACTTGGATTCATACTGGCAGCCATCTTCAGCCGCCAGGCGCCGTCCAGAAGTCGAAAAGGTGCCAGACTGTTGTCGCCGGTGCCGAACTTTGCGCGGCAGTTTCGAGCTCCCATGAGAGCCAGGTGCCGTCGCCACGTGCCCCAGTACCCATGAGAGACGGGCTTCGCAGTGTGTAAGCGGCGGCGACATGTGGTGGTTTTGATTCGGCCCACACCGCCACCGTGCTCTCTTCGGGTCTTCGCGGTCTTTGAGAGTCTGCAGGGCTGCTCAAAAAATGGCTCCGGCGCGGAGTAGTCCGTGGTCTCACTCCAAGGGCTCCAGCTCGGCTTAAGCCAAAAGGCATCACGGGGGTCCCAAGAAGGGTTCCAGAGGACTGCACTTGGCCCCCAAAAGCGGCCCAGGAGGTCCAAGAGATTTCCAGGAGAGGGGGGCCCACTTTAATCCAGCTGCCTGCGGCAAGTCCCGCCACCGTGGCAGTCCACCAGGCTCGGTGGCGATTGTTCGAGAGGGTACCGGAAGCATCTTGGATGTTCGTTGGGATATCGTGGGAGGCCTCCCGGGAGCTTATTGGAGGCAGCTTTGCGGCCTCTTTGGGGCTGTTTGGGGGTTGTTGGGGGCCTCTCGGGGCCCCCTTGGGGCTTCTCGGACGCCTCTTGGGGTAGGCCCACGGCGGCAAGTCCGCTCGCAGACGCGGACGTTCACCGTTGTGGGCGGGCACAAATCGGCCACTGTTGCGCGTAGGTCGCGCGCGCGGCAGTGCGACGCGACCGCGGCCTCGCTGCGCAGGCGCGGGCCATCGCGCCGTCGCGCGCCAGGGTTGCGCGTCGCGGGGGGGGGTTGCTGCCCCGCGGCGCGTGCGCTTCGCAGGCGTTTTGCTTGCGCCGGGGTTGCGTCGCCGCGGGGGGGGGTCGGTGCCCCCGCGGCGCGTGCGCTTCGCAGGCGATTTGCATTTGGAGGAGGCGCCGCGCGCGCGCCCCGCGCGCGCGCGCGGCGGGTGCCTCCCTGGCGCGCGTTCTTTCTCTTCTTGTGTGTGTTGCGTGTGTGGGTGGTGCGTGTTGTGTGTGTGTGTGTGCGTGCGTGTGTGTGTGTGTGTGCTTGTGTGCGTGTGTGCGTGTGTGCGTGTGTGCGTGTGTGTGTGTTGCGTGTTTGTGTGTGTGTGCGCGCGCGCCGCGCGCGCGCTCGCGCCGCCGCCGCTCCATCGGCGGGCCGCCCTCCCTCTCGCGCAGGTTCCTCTTCCCCTCTGCCCCGCAGATTGGCCGCAGGCAGGAATTGGGCCGCGCCCCGCGCTCGGGATTTGAGCGTGGGGCGCGCCGCGCGCGCGCGCGCCGCCGCCGTCGTTCGCGGGCTCCTCCTCTCCTCCTCTCCTCGCGGGTCGCCTCGTCTCTCTCGCTCTCTCCTGCTTGCCTGCCCTCCGGGCTCGTCCCTCGTGGCCTGTTCGCTCCCCCGCTGCTCGCTTGTGCTCGTTGCCCCTCGTGCCCTGCTCGTGCGCCGTGGCTGCCCCTGCTCTTCGCTCGCCTGCGCGCCCTGGTGTTTGCTCGTCGTCGCGTTCTTTTTGTTTCGCGTCCGCCTTTGTCGTCGCCTTGTCGCCCTCGCGTTCGGCTGTCGCTGTTGCCTCGCGTGGGGTCGTCCTGGCTTGTGCTTGTCGGCGTGCTTGCTCGCTCGCTCGGCGTCGCGTTGCCTCGCTTTTCCCGTCGCCGTCGCCCCTGCGTGCCTCCTTTGCTTTCCCTTCCGCCGCCTGCCGCTTGGCGCCTGCCTTGCTGCTTCTGCCTTCGTGCCTGGCGGTTGCCTGCTTGCCTGCCTGCGCCCTCGTCGTTTTGCCGGTGGCTCGTCTCTCTTGGGCGCAGGCCCTCGCTGGCGCGGGCCCTGTGGGCACCTCGCTCGCGTCGCCTTGGCCCTTCGGCCAGGCAGTGTGCCAGGCTCGCGGCAAGGGCGCTCCTGGTCTCGGGTGAGGCGCAGGCCCCAGGGCCAAGTTTCGTGCGGGGGAGGGCGCAGGCCTTTGGATCCTTGCGTTTTGGGTCGGGCGCTGGCCCCAGGACCCGATCGTGCGTAAGGGGGAGGGCGCATCCCGTTGATCCCTGTCTTGGGTAGGGCGCAGGCCCCAGGACCCGATGGTGCGAAGGGGGGAGGGCGCATCCCGTAGATCCCTGTCTTGGGTAGGGCGCAGGCCCCAGGACCCAGTGGTGCGAAAGGGGGAGGGCGCATCCCGTTGATCCCTGTGCGTCGGGTAGGGCGCAGGCCCCAGGACCCAACTGTGCGAAAGGGGGAGGGCGCATCCCGTTGATCCCTGTCTTGGGTAGGGCGCAAGCCCCTGGACCCCGTCTTGCTGGGCACCGCTCTCCTCGTGGGTCGGCCCGCGGGCCTCGTCTCGGGCAGGGCGCTGGCTTCTGGCTCCTCGTCTTGTGCGGGGGAGGGCGCCGGCCCCTGGTACCGTGTCTTGGGTAGGGCGCAGGCCCCAGGACCCAATCGTGCGAAAGGGGGAGGGCGCATCCCGTAGATCCCTGTCTTGGGCAGGGCGCAGGCCCCAGGACCCGATGGTGCAAAGGGGGAGGGCGCATCCCGTTGATCCCTGTGTCGGGTAGGGCGCAGGCCCCAAGACCCCGTCTGGCTGGGCTCTGGCTTCTTCTTGGAAGAGCTCCCGGGCCTTCTCTTGGGTTGGGCGCAGGCCCCTGGTCTTCCCCCTCTCGTGAGGGGCGCAGGCCTGGTCGCCGCCTCTTGGGGTCCCGCGCAGTCTCCGCCCTGTGCGCGCTCGCGCCGGCAGCTCGCCGAGTTCGGGCGCCCAAGCTGTCTCGCGCCGCGCGGCACCGCTCTTCGCGATGGGCGACCTCGGCAGTTTTCTTGGCGCCTTGGACGGCGCGTCGGCGCACGAGGCCGGTTGGCTCGAAGCCGCGGCGACCGCGCTCAAGGGCCAAGGTGTGGCAACGATCGCCGATTTAGAGGGCGCGGCATTCGAGGATCTCTCTTTTGCCGACAAGGAGCTCGACGCCGCGCAGAAGCGCCTCGTGCGCGCGGGGATCACCGCGGCGAGCACGCCGGCGCCGGTGGCTGGGGGCTCGGCGGCGGCCGCCCCTCCAGCGCCCTCGGCGGCGGAGAACGCGGCCGCCCTCTTGGCCGCGCTCAGGACGGGCACCAGCGAGGCGCAAGCGATCTCGACGCGATCTCGGGCTCGCGTGGCCCCGCGCGGCGCGTTCGCAGGAAAAGCCGGCCCGCGTATTCTTGGGCCCTCTCCTCGGCAAGGCGTCGCTGGCCAACCTCCCGCAAGAGTTCTGGCCCAGGCGCGCTCGCGCGCGCGCGCTGGTTCTCGCATCTGGTCCCGTGCGCCGGTAGCTCCGACATGCTTGACGCGTTGAACGCGGAAGTCTTGAAGCGGCAGAAGAAGGAATCCAGCGAGAAAGCGCGCGTCTTCCTGTACTCGGACATCCGCAAGTGGGTGCCCGAGTGGGCCCGCTCGGGCCCTCGCGATTTCGAAGAGGAGGCTGACGGATCGTCCGGCGCCAGCAAGGACATTCGTGACCTCGCCAAGGCTCGCGCCGCGCGCGCGTTGCCTGGCCCGCGCGCGGGCGCTCGCCCCGCAGGAAGTGGCGGCGGTGAAGACAGGGCCCGAGAAGAAGGCCTACTTAACCCTCTGCCAGTGGCAACTGGCTTGGAACCGGCGCGACCTGCCCGTCGCGCGCCCCCCCCGCGCGCCTGCCTGTTATCGCGCCGCGCGCGGCAGGTACTTGGTCGCGCTGGTCGCCGCGGGCCAGCTCGCGTGGGCTGAGGCGCAGGCGCATCGCGACAACTGCTTGAAGGTGGCGGTTCAGGCTGCGCGCGCGCGATTTCTCGTCGCTCTCTGTTCGCCGCGCGTTGCCGCGCAGGCGGCGGCCTCGAAGCGCCGCGTGCACCTCGGTATCGTGTGCGACGAGGAGGCGCGGAAGGCGCGCCCCTGCGTTCGTGCTTGCGCGGCGCCCTGCGTCTGTGCCGGCGCGTGGCAGCTATGGGCCGAGCAGCTACGCTCGGGGGGCCCAGATTTCAAGCTGGGGAAGACGATCCTGCGGGTCGACCCGCGCGCCCTACAGCTGGCGCGGGATGCTTGCGACAAAGAAGACGGCGCCACCCACGCGACGGCGAGCGTCGCGCCGCGCGGATTCGCTTCTGCCACCTTTCTCCGCCGTTTCCGCGCGCGCAGGCACCGGCGGCCCGCGCTCCCGAGAAGGCGCGCGGGGCGGGCGGCGCCAGCCAGCCGTGGCGCGCCGCGCAGAGCTGGAGCAGCGGCTCCTGGGGCAGCGATTGGCCGAAGGGCCAGAAGCGCGAGCGCTCGTGGGGCAGCGATTGGAAGAAAAAGGACACGAGGAAGGCACGGACGCCGCCGCGCCCGGCGCAGCGCTGAGCGCCGCCCTGGCAGGGCGCGCGCGAGCCCCCGTAGGGGTGGAGCCCCTTCAGCCGTCAGAACGGCTCGCGCGCAAAAGCCTGCCTCCGCCCGCGCCGGGTCGGGGCCGTGACCCGGGCGCGCCCGATAGTTCTACGCTTTGTCGCTAAAAATGGCCCCGTGCGCCGTGCGCAGGACCCCCACTCGCGTGCTGGGACATGCCGCGTGCGCTGTTGCCGCGGAGGCCGCTTCGCTTTCCGCGCCGCGCTGCGAGTGCCCGGCTTGGCCGCGGCCAGCCTGGGCGGGGCGTGCGGGGGAGTTCCGCGGGGCAGCGTGCGTTCCGAGGGCGCTTTTCGCTACGCTTTGGCGCCTTGTCCACGTCCGCGGTTTGCAATCTTGTGCAATGCCTGCCGTGCCGGTGCCGCCCCCGCCGCCCGCATCTGGCGCGCGAAAGCGGGCGGCGCCTGGGGCTGCATGCGTCGTCGCCAAATCTCGCAAGGCGCGCTTTCCCGGCTCTCGGTCGCGCGCGAGCCAGCGGCGCGCGTCAGGTGATGCCGGCGCCGCCAGCGCCGCCAGGGCCGCAATTCAGGAGCGATTGGTCTCGGCGTTGCAGCGACAGCGCGTGGCGCGACATCTGCGTCGCGGCCGGCGGCTGTAGCGGCGGCGACGCGGAGAAACTTACCTTTCTGGCAAGGGCGCTGGACGGCGACCCCGCGCTCTGGGGCAAGTGGCGGCCCGCCGCGGCCTCGGCTTTGCCGCCCACGGCCGCTGAGGCAGTGCGGTGGGCCGCGCAGACCGCCCCCGCCGACGTGGTGGCTTTCCGCGAGGGCGAACTCGCGGCGCTTCGCGAAAGGGATCGGGCTCTCCGGGCCAGTGGCGCCGTGGAAGAATGGTTCCGGGGGGTGGACCCCGCCATGCGGCGCGTCGCACAGCACGTGAACGGGCCTCTCTGCGCAGAGATCGCGGAGCGCATTGCCTTCTGCGACCCAGGCTGCGTGGAATTCTTCAGGACGGGGGCGCCCCTCGTCGGCGAGCTCCCGCGGTCGGGCCACGGCAGCCCAGATGCGTTCCCTCCCCGTCTGGGCATCGCGGAGCTGCTCGGCAACGCCGAGTCGACAAATCGCGACATTTCCTGCGGCCTCCGCGACGGCGCGCACGGCGACGCCATCCTCCGCAAGACACGGGACGAGGCCGAGCTGGGGCGCATCAGTTGCCCGGTGCCGCTCCGCGACGTGTGCCTGGACGGGGCCGTCATCGCTCCGAGGTTTGCGGTTGAGCAGCTCCGTGAAGACGGGTCCTCGAAACTCCGGTTGGTCGACGACATGACCAAGGCTAGGATTAACGAGGCGACGCGGCCTCAGGAGCGGCTCCACCACGATGCCGTGGACGCGCTTTTCGAAGCAGCTCGCATCTTCCAGGAAGTTGCGGGGCGGGCACCCGCCCTCTGGAAGGCAGACATCGACGCTGCCTTTCGTCGCGTGCCCATTCGCGCTGAGCACCGCCGGTTCGCTTGGATCGTGTTCAGCGCCGCCGGGCAGGTCTGGGCGGCGCAGCACGCGGCAGCGCCCTTCGGGGCCACGTCGTCGGTGCACAGCTGGGCGCGAGTGGGTGCCTTCATCGCGGAGGCGGCGCGCGTGCTCTTGCGGATCGCCGCGCTGCGATACGTGGATGATTATTTTGGGCCGGATCACCCCGAAGTGGTGGAGCACGCAGCAGCGCAGCTGGCGGAGCTAATTCAGCTGATGCTCGGCCCAGGCGCGGTGGCGCCGGACAAGATCGCCTGGGGGTCCCCGCTGGTCATCCTCGGCCTCGAAATCAAGGCGGGGCGGCCTTGGCGCGACGCGCCGGCTGGCCGGCTGCGCGCGTCGCCAGGTGTTGCCACGCGCGTTCTGCGCGCGCCCCGCACCCGCGAAGACCGCCAAGTGGCAGCGCGTCATCGGCGTGGCGCTCGCGACGCGCGCCCTCGCGCCAGGCGGCTCGTGCGTCCCCCCTACCCTGAGGCTCCTTGTTGCTTGAATACAGCAACCACCGTATGTTGCTATTTAAATAGCAGCCGACATGTGATCACGCTTCCAAGCGTGAATGGCATATGCATAGCGTGCGACAGTGTTTCGCACGCGCAGCTAGGAACAGGAAAACGAAGAGAAGGGGAAGAGGAAGAGGAACATGTTATACGTATGATTTGTACAGATGTTATATAAATTGTGATATACTACTGACGTAAAAAGGGTGTTATTGGCGTGGGTCGCTGGGTCGGACGGCCATGCTGGAGGGAGGGGCGGGATGTCAGATGAGGAGCAAACGCCCGCCGTTTCATCTCACGAGTGCGTGCGCGGTCTTGGTCTTTCACGACGCCTGTGTGGATGGCGTCATTTTGCGACTCAGGGAACGCGCGTCCATGCAGCCGCGCAGGCGGACTTCTGCAGCTTCGCCTCCAAACCCGCGTCGGAGCCAGGTGACGCGCGCCGCTGTTTGCAGCGGCGGTGAAACGTGGGGACGCAGCTCGTTAAACTTAACGGACACTGCGAACATTTCTAAAAAGGATATTAAAAAGCGGGGGGGTGAAACATAGGGCAAGGGGCCACCGAACATGTACAGAGTGACGGTCTTCCACCTCTTCCTCCTCTTCCCCTTCTCTTCCTCCTCTCCCTTGTCTTCGTCGTACTCGTCCTCGCCCTCCTCCCCCTCCCCCCCCCCCCCCGTCTCTCGGGGCCCTGCGCCCCCGAAGTGGCTTCGAGCTCGCGCGAGAAATTCCGAAGATCATCGCGCTTCAAGGCCGCCCGCAAGCGCGAAGATAAACGCGCTGGGCGATCCCGCTCTCCAGCGCCCGTGGGCTTCAGGATAACGAGGCGTCGGGGGCTGGCCGATCGGCAGTTTGGCTCGAGGAGTTCCGAGAGGACTTCTCCTTTCGTCCGCGCCACGCGCGGCACCGCGGCACTGCGCAGGCATGCCGCCCAAGGGCTTCAAGGTTGGCGCGGCCAGGGCAGCCGCCAACAGGGACTCGGGGCTCTTGAAGTCACCACCCACCAAACCACCCCAACCCAACCCGAAGGCCCGAATTTGCCCTCCATTTCCAGTTGGGGGGGGTCGGGGAACGTCGAGAAAACACACATGAAGCCCGTGCCCCCCCCAACCCGAAATTCGGGTCTTCGGGTTGGGTTGGGGTGGTTTGGGAGGTAGTCATGAAGGAGATCCTCGGCCGCCACCTCGAAACGCCAGAGTCGCTGGTGTGCAGCACGGATGTCACAGGGGCGCCGACAGACGTGGCGACCTTGAAGATGTGGGCCCCCCTGCTCCAGGAGGTGCTGCCCCACTTCAAGAAGGGCGGGTTGATCCACGCCGTCGCGGTGGAGGCTCTCGCAGGACTCGCTAAAGATCGCGAGGCATCGTGGTCATTGGCTTCCAGCTTGGGCGACTGGAGCGACGACCAGGCCAAGATGCTGCGCGCCATGGTGCGACAGTGCAAGAACGCGCTGGAGAGGACTCGCGGGAAACACCTTCTCCTCCACCTCATTCTGCCCTTCACCTTCCCTTCCTCCTCCTCTTCCTCCTCCTGATCCTCTTCCTCCCTCTCCTCGTCCTCACCCCCGTCATCCTCCTCCTCCTCCCCCTCCTCCTCCTCCTCCTCCTTCTCCTCCTCCTCCTCCTCCTCCTCCTCCTCCTCCCCCCCCTAACTCACCGTCGTTCTCGGCTCCCTTGCAGGACGAAGCCGCCAAAGTGGGTGCTCGAGCTCGCGGGCGGCGCAGCGGCCGAGGCCGGTGGCGAGGAGGAGGCCGGTGGGCTCAATCCCACCCTCCTCCATCCTATGAAGGCCGCTGCACGGCCCAAGACTCCTTTTCGGGGTCGCAGGCGTCGCGAGATAGCGCCGCGGACAAGCGACTTTGCCACGCCTGCTCGGCGAACATATTTTGCGCCACCTTGGCAACCAAACGCCGCGTCGAAAGCAAGCAATATCACCCTTCAATTAATTGAAAAAAACGCGCCTGACGTTGCGGCGCCTCTCGCGCGCGGCCTGGCTAGCAGAGCAAGGGCAACCGATGCCCGCGCCAAAACAAACGCACTTCGTCTGCATCTGCGCAGCTGTCGCGCGGCGACGCGCGGCCGCGCGGCCGCGCGGCGGCGCTGGCGGGCCCCGCGCGGTAAATCAGAACCGAAAAACGAAATGACGCCACGCGCGATGTCGAGTTGACCCCCCGACGTCGGGACGCGATGTTTGTTGTTCGCGCGAATGCGGCCTCGACGCCGCGAACAAAGCGTTTCGCGCGCGCCGCGCCGGGCAGGTTGGTCGCGACCTCCCAGGCGGAAGAGGTCCGAGCATTGAGGGCCGAGGAGGGAATAAACCATGCAAGCGCTGCCACAAGCGACAACGAGAGAAAACTCAGCCCAAGCCCGCTCGATAGGCAGTGGCATGAAACGAAACGCAGCGGGCCGGGGCAAATTGGCGAAGGAAGCGGGCGCAAACGGGGGAGGCCTGGGCCTGGGCGACCTGCGCCCTGAGCGCCAAGGGAACTCGTGGACCCGACGGCGCGGCGCGAGTGAAGCTCATCAACGGGGGGAAATTCACTCGCCGAAACGGCGGGGGCATCGCCGCAGCCATTCCGAGGTCGCGAGATACCCCGTCGCGACGCGTCTTCCGCCGCAGCGCGTGCGGCTCGCGCGCGGGCGAGCGCGCGCGTTCGCGCGAGCACAAAAACTCGCTCGCGCGCGCATGAAATCAACGCCGCGCGCAGTTGTGCGCGCAATCCGTTTTTTGCCCGCCGTTTTTTTCCGACGGCCCGACGCGCGGCGCCATTTGTCCCCACTTGTCATCACTTTGTCACCACTTTGTCATCACTTTGTCCGCAACAAAAACGCGCGACAACCCTATTTGTCATCACTTTGTCACCACTTTGTCATCACTTTGTCATCACTTTGTCGCAAGGTTTGTCTCCGTTCCCCTTCCAAGCTGCGAAACCCCAAATGTTTCCTTCCGCGCATCGATCTGCGGCCCGTTCAGGCAATGCCGCGCCAGCAACCGCGGG